CATCATACATATACTAATTTTGGCAAATTGAATCTCTTCTTTTTAGTGGATATTGTCACCTATGTTTTATAGATCAAACAAAGGTCTTCGATGAAGTACGCCATAATGATCTGTTGGAACTGCTCACCAACTTTGACATATTTCGGAAGGATATTAGAACAATCAAGAATCTTTACTAGCAGCAAACCACTTGCATACAGATAGAAAAAATGTGTTCGGCATATACAAAAAATAGAAACAAGTATAGGTCTTCTCACTTGTTCAACCTATACAACCAGACGATTCAGAGAGAATTCGAAGTCCTATGAGGATTCATTATTGACGACCACAATTTTAATAGCATAATATATACAGATTATCTAGTGTTGATAGCAGACACAGAAAGAAAACTACAAAAACTCGTAGGAAAGTTAGTGAAGGAAAGCGAGTAGAAAAGATTAAACATAAACTTCAAGGTGGAATGCTTGGTTGTTAAAAAAAAAGGATGAACCCAAAATGCAAATTATAAATCGGAAAATCAAACAAGTACAAAAATTATAAGTGTCTTAACACAGCATGGAAAGTGCGATACGGAAATCCAAAGGCGTATTGGTGTTATGGTCCAGGTTAGGACCAAGGAAGAACAACACGAACACAAGAGTAGAAGCAAAGAAGGTATATTACACGAAATACTAATACAAAATGTGGAAGATGTTAGTATGACTGTCAGTCTGGTTTAGAGTGAACTAATATCGGCTCGACTTGATTCGACCCTCTCTCTTGAGAGGCGTAGTATAAATAGTCTTAGGAAGAGTTCATTCTGTAGTTATAGGTAAGGACCCATCACAATTGGTATAGCCAAAGATGCATTCCAAAAGCTAAGCAGAGTATTAAGAAACCGAAAAACATCGTTAGAAACAAAGAAAAGAGTACTGAAATGTTATGCGATATCTGTGCTCCAATATGGTAGTGACTGCTATACAATAGCCTCAAAGCTCAAGAAGAAACTTGAAGCAACAGAAATGTGGTTATACATCAGGATGCTGAGGATACCATGAACGGAATATATGAGCAAAAGTTTTATAGAAAATGGAAACAAAAAGGGAACCTACTTAAATTTAGGAAGAGAGAGTTGAAATTTCTAGGGTACATAATGAGGAAACAAAGCTTGGAAAATTTGATATTCACAGGCCAGATTGAAGGCAAGATGAACAGATAAAAACAACGCATAACCTTCTTAGTGGGCTTGAGTAAATGGATGGTGAAATAAAGTTTAGAAGAAATAACAAAAAGACAATGATTCAAAAGCGACTAAGGATAAGAAATCGTGGAGAACTGTGATCGCCTACACCTGAAGAGACCCGGCACATAAAGAAAAGGATTATTTGATGTTGACATTTCCAATTAATAGTTTGCATCTTGGCTTTTTTTCTTTTGCTGACAAACATAGAAGCTGTCTTCTTACAGTTGATGTCCAGTCCTTTCTTTTTCTGTTCTTACTTCTTTGTCTCGATCATTCTGTATTTTTCCTTCAGTAGTGTATCCTATATTATTAAAACTGCGCTCACTGATATATCGTGGTAGCTTCTCCAATTCATTAGGATAGCCTCTCTGTAGTGGTTGATTAAATCTGCTGAGAAGATACATATTTGTCTTAAGACTTTTCTATTTTTGTGTATCTGGTCGATTCATTTTGCATCAGTATACAAGTGTTTTAAATCCTAGTATCATCGTCGTCGGCTTTATCTCGTATCCAAGAATTTTAATTTCTTCTTTTCTGATCGCTTCTTTCATGATGATGGCGTTGTTGATTAAGTAGATCAATTCGTGCATAGAAAAGCCGATGCCATTGACTGTGGAGGATGACGTTGATTTGTCGAGCCTATCTCTCTTGCTGTTCGACTTCTTCCTTTACTCTTCTGGTGGCTTCGAAGATTTTGGTTACGATGGTAATGGTACATTTTCAGTTAGTCTCGTGCTTGCGTTTCAAACGATTTAGGCTCAAATTCAGTGGCTTTCTGTTGTGCATTCCGAGATGAAATTCGGTCTCTAATGAATGACAAACGCAAGAATTAAATATAAGAAATAAAGTATATTTACACAATAATACAAAGGGTAAATCCAGGAACGCGGTTAGTAGCAATAACATATAGATATATACAGTCTCGAAGTAGGACTTCCTTAGAATCTACGTGCTTGTAACTGACTTCGACAAGCGGTTACCTCACACTATTACTCTACCTCCAACTCAATCACAATCTCAGTCTTCTTACTATCTCTACTCTAATCTGACTCTGGGTATTTAACAGCAGCAGTCCAAGTAACACTTTGGTCGAGTCCACTTATATGAAAAAGGGGAGGACCCCATAACATTTTCAGTGTTATTTTGAATCGGTCCTTTTATCTTCGAAGATTGCGCACCATTTTTTTTCCTGGAAATGAAATGGGCTCACTAAATAAACCTTAATTTGGAAACCTTGATTCTTTCATTCTTGCTACATCTCTTGAACATCAAACACGAAGTTTAATAATCAGCGATTCGATGCTTTGATTGTTGGCGCTTTCCAGGACTTTGGTGTTGGTCATATAGTAATGCCATTTGATGTTCAAGATTGAACGAAGCTTTTGTTGATGAAAATGTTCTAATTTTGCGGTATCGTGATAATATAGAGTGCAGGTTTCGCAACCATATAGCAAAGTTGAAATGGCAAGAGCAGTATAGACCATATTTTTTGCTGTTAAGTTCAGATCTAAGATAAGTTCTGAAATATTATAACATACTTTCCGAATAGGTCTAGTTTTCCTAATAGTGTAAATAGATCTTTGTACCGTACCTTATCATGTTCTTTTGTTCTAATAGGTTTACAGCCTTCTACATTTGTATTGCTCTGTCCAGTTGTCCAATTAGAATAGATTCTTCAGCAATGTGTATGATCAAAAGAAAACGACATACGCGTGTGTCTTTCTGAAACGGTTTCCACAATTGATTTCCTTATTTAAAGGAACTGAGCTTAGCCATGCGCAACATTGTACTGAATAAAATTATTAACAATTACTTCTTATCTGTAATCTATTCTATGCTGTCTATATATTTTATGCCATATTCTTCTCAAAGGGTACGCAAATAAATTCGAATATAACGACTTACGGCCACATCAGGTTGTGACCGTACATTCACCGAAGATAAGAAACGTCGAGCCAGTTCATACATAGGTGACCGCTTAGAAATACCAAGTTCTGTAAGCTGGAATTTGCTGGTAGTGTAGTGGATACTGGTTCTGAATTTTTATTCGGAAAGCCGAGTTTCGATTCTATTTGGGTTCGTTATATTCACTTACGCGCAAATACTATTGGGGAAAGTATGAATCCACTTCTTCTCCCCAGCTATGGATTAATTAGTAAAACTTGTATCCCTAAACCATTATTATTGCAAAAAATGGAATAAAACATTGCGTAGAAATGTAGTGTTAGCAACGTTGGCTTTTTTCTATCATTTCCACTTCTTGATTTGGTATCCATACAATATTTTTACTCTATTTCCGTTTACTTTTCTTGTCGTGAATAATGAAATGAATACTTTAAACTTACTAAATATTTACCAATACTCTGTCTGAAATTGATATGCTTTTCCCGCACCTTTCAAAGGTCGATGTTTGCTCTCATTGAAAAGAAAAGCAATCACACCAGTTGTAAGATGAACAGAAGACAATTTCCTTTCTTCCATTTCAGTTTCCGTTGTTTGAAACTAAGCTTTCTATATATCAAGATACTAAATGACATAATCTATGTCAGGATATCCTGATAAAACAATACCAACAACCCAAAATTAAAAATGGGAGATTGTAACGTTACTCTGCTGAAAAATCAATTTTCTGCTTTCAATAATTTAAATGAACAAGGAAGATTTTTTATTGGAACAGTTACTATTTAAGCGGGCTGAAAAAGAATGAAAGATAATGGTGTTTTAATTAGGAATCTTTCGAATCAAGATTTATATTTCACTGAAATTAACCTACAAGGAGAATGAATAACCGACGTGACCTATTGACATTAACAGGTAAATTAGTAACTTAAGTGATCTGATTAACATTACCAGGTAAATTAATAATCAGAGTCACCTATTAACTGTACTAGGTGAATTAATAGCATAAGTGACCTATTAACATTAACAGATGAATTAGTAACCCCAGTGATCTTATTAATATTACGAGGCAAATTAGTAACCTAAATGAGATATTAACATTACTATGGAGTTTGTTTTTTTAATCATATCACCCAATCCATTAAGGTACGAGAGGTTACTGAGTGTAAAAGAATAAGAAAAAGATAAACGAATGAGAGTAAACAATAAAAAAGGATATATATAGTAGATAATGAAGGTAGTAGAGAGTTCCACAAGTGAGTGTGAGTATTAAAATTATCATGTTATTATTTTAATATGTTATGAAGCAAAGAGAAGTGATAAGATTTGGCGGGCAACGCTCCATAATAGTGTTATATAGTTATATTTATTTTCACGGAAACTTCTTATGACGTGGACACTAGAGAGCACTTTCAAAAATGAATACCACCTGGAAGTAAAAAAAATAAAAAAAAAATGTCTGAAAGTACAGCAGTCGTCGTACACGGGTCAAGCAGTTGGATATCAACAAAATCACTAGACTAAAAAGCTAGATGATTAGCAGACTCGACTATTTAGAGCAGCGCTAAATATCATCGGGTATCATGATTACTCAATGAAGAACTGTATGTAAACCTACCAAATTGATTGAATCATTCCTTTTCTATGGCTTATCAACACTTTTCAAGCCAGAAAATATTTTTAAATTGGAATAATGTTTTGAGATAATAACAGTTTAGTGATACAAGTCTTACTAATTAACCCATAGCTGGAGGGAGAAGAGGTGGATTCATACCTTTCTCAAGGTTATTACGCGTAAAGGAATATAACGGGAATTTGAACTCGGCTCTATTATTAACAAGTCCGGGCTATTATTCATTACACCTACTGCACATCCAAGCTTACAGCACCTGGTATTCCCAAGCGGTGACCCATCTAGTTACTAATCAGGCTCGACATTGTTTAACTTCGATGATTGTACAGAAACCGGTGTTTCAACGTTATATGGCCGTAAACCTTGAAGCTAGCAATGTTTACGAACAGAATCCCTGATAATGAGTGTGGTTTTAATGTCCATTTCTAGAAGTGTAAACAAGAAGTTGCGCATCAGCTTATGCGGTGGGATCAGAAATGATGGTAAAAGATCTCCACGTAGAGCAGTAAGAAGCCTCATCGATCAGGCACCTGGATCAGAAAGAAAGAACTGGATAGAGCTGTGAATAAAATAATTCTGGAAGGAAGGGTTTGACAATCAGACATATATTAAAAATATAAAGGGAACATAATATCGTTGGATAAAGCATGTTATCAGCTGCAAATCACAAGCAATGAACAAGGATTGTATGGACCAGCTGCAATATGTCCTGTCACATATATGACCGTTTTCATTGTTTAAAAGTTCAGTAGACTTGGAGGGTGTAAAAACTGAAACGTTCTGATTAAAACGAAGACATGGTAACTAGTTCGAAGGAATAACAATTATTTTGTTACAGAAATCCTAACCGAAAATAATTTATAGTTTAATCAAATCCTAAAGAATTTTATTTGTATCGAATTACTGCAGCGTCACTATAGAAGTGATAGTATTATACATTACCCAAAGGAGTATTTGTGTTCTTGTTTTTTTTGTTTGTTTGTTTGTTATTTTTTAGAGAGAGACATTCAATCAATAGATTTGAACAAATAGATAGATAGATAGATAGATAGATAGATAGATAGATAGATAGATAGATAGATAGATAGATAAACCCACTATAATTCGTTGGTTTAACTGATATTGACTGAAGGGAATATTCTGAAATCAGTAAATTCCATGACTAATCGGTTTGAAAGTATCATACACGCAATCCATTTTCCTAATGTACCGTAAGAACTTTTTGACATATATCCACCGTAATATTGTCATGGAAATATTGTTGTTCGTGTCTGACGTGACCAACACTATGGAAACCAGTTGCCAATAAATACGATTATGTCAGTTTGCGTGTGGGCATATTTATGTGTATAAAAGACAAACAGTAATATAAACAAAACAAACAATATAACCTTTACTCACAAAACTGTTTAACATCATTAAAATAAAGAGAGGCAAGTCTCTTTTAATGTCTATAAGCTGAATAATTTCTACTTATCAGCTAGTGCCAGACGGATATACGCACCTTTTCGATGTGAAGCCAAAACTGTCAGTCTTTAACGTCTGCTCCGACCAAATTATTACCAATGCTAATTTTGGCATGCCGATTATTGATTGGTCTAAACTTTTATGATTAATCACGACATCTGACCAAGCGGAGGGCAGGATGCATCATTAGTCTTTAAGTGGTTCCAATTGGCGCCATTAGCTGTGTCCCGCGCTTTTACATGCTTATATATACATATTGCTGCTTTTATCAACGAAAAGAGATAACACTATTGAATCATTGAAAAAGGAAATAGCCAAATTTTGCGATACAAATGCATTAATCTTTCAACAAAGATAATTAAAGACCACTCGGTTTGGTTTTATTACACCAATCATATTTTTCGCACTTCTTTTTTTTTTCTTTATGTGCCGTATCCCTTCAAGACGTAGGTGATCATGGCTCTCCACAATTTCCTGTCCCTTGCAGCTAAAAAAATTTGATCTTTTTATTTCTTAACTCTGTTCCGCCATCCATTTCCTTCAAGCTCATCAAGTAGGTTTGTGCGTTGTTTTCCTCTTACCCTCAATCTGTCACGTGAGTAACAGACTTCTCAAGTCCCTCTTCTTCGTTATACGCTCCATAAATTTCAACTGTTTCTTCCTGATGTTGAGTATGTGTTTTATTTTCGTTTCCATTTTCTTAAAAACCTCGTCGTTGCTCACAAATTCGGTTCATGGTATTCTTAGAATCCCTTCTGTACAACCACATTTCTCTTGCTTCAAGTCTCTCCTACATCACTGAGGAGATTTTCCAGCATTCACTGCCATATAGGAGGACAGAATATCACGTAACAGTTTAGTTCGCAATTTCTTTGTTTCATGACTCTTTCAAAAGTAAGCTTGTTTACAAGATTGTAATGTAGCACGGTTACAGTTGAAAATGTTTGAAGAAACTAAATTCAACATTTTCAGAAGGAATAAACTTCATCACATGGAAGAATTTTACGCATATATTTTGCATAACGAATACCAATGTAAGAAGAAAGAAAACATACCAGTGTCTACACAGATAGCTGAAAAAGAAAAAAAAACATTTAAGTCTGAGCGGCTAAAAATGTGTAAGAGAGAGAGAGAGAGATGTGTGTATGTGGGATATATTCGTCAGGGATATATTTGCATAGATGTCACAGGTGCACCAAGGTATAAACGAGGCCTTTAAATGCTGATTTTCTCTGAAAATTTAAACAATATCATTGAACAAACTGGTAATGAAACCAGAAATATAATAACTATGACATGTTTGTTTTCATTCATGAAAATATTTATATGTGTGTATGTATGTGCGTGCACTAGAGAGAGAGAGAGAGAGAGAGGTGGGTGCGTATGTGTCAGTGAATTAAAATTTAATCTTCAGCCGGAGAAAGGAAATTTCCCTGCCCAGGACAATGGTCGTGTAGTGACAATTCAGAACAAAAGAAAGTGAGATTCATGGTTATGTCCTTTCTTTTATATCCCTGAAACAGCTTCACTTAGCTGACATCTTGGCATGCCTGTTGGCGGTAATCCTCACCTTCTCCACAAATTCCTTTTCCTTACTATCTGTGAATCGTCGTGCATTCTTCGAACGGTCTCCCGTTGACTTCTACACGATTTGAAATTTCATCTTGGACGTTTGTTGATGACCTCTTGCATGTATACATATATACAGACATTTTATATATATATATATATATATATATATATATATATATATATATTGAACATGTTTCGTTGAATATGACAGACAAGGATAACTTAACTGATATTTTATTTAGTTTTTTCCAGCATTCTTGCATTTTTCGATTCGTGGGAGTTAGGGAGTGCAGATAATTTCCGTCTTGTCCATTGACGTTCTCGGCCAACTATTTAGAAACTTTCAATGAGGTTTGTTTTAGAGAGGTTCTTAATTTTCCTTCATGTTTGTTTGACAGTTTAAAATGTGTTTTCATGTTGCTTTGAATACAAGTAGTAACGTTTATTCAGACGTCTGCGTGATGAGTGCGACTGGAATTCGAATGAGCATCTTTCTACTTTTTAAAAAACTATCAACACACCATTTTTACTGTTCACTGTTTATAGTGAAAGCGAGATTTTTTTATACACGAGTTGTGTCCGGTAATGTGATTTATACAGGACTTTAGCATTTTCGACCAGAAGTTTCCTTAAGGCTTCTTTTATATTGTGTATAGACAGATGTTTTTATAGTACTTTGAACAAGTAAGTGACATGTGAAGCATATACTGAAGGATGTGGTAGTATATCATATATATATATATATATATATATATATATATATATATATATATGAAATTTTATAGATTGGATGTTAATCTTTAACTGGGTATAGTTTCACGCATTTTTATTAAATTTTGCAGCAGTACTTGCTAGAATAACCAGGTGAGGAATAAAGTTCTCTGTGGAGTTAGGTAGGTTCAAGTATTATCTGTCCCTAAACTCTAACAGGGAAAATGCAATACATTCCAAAACACCTGAAACATATTTCTAGCGTTGATTGCGTTTGAAACACGAAAATTCTTCTACCTCCAAAAAGAAAATCATTTAAGCTGAAATATAAATGGATGTTGAAGAAATACTGATACCCAGGTGTTAGTCACAAATCTGTCTAATTAAATAACATCGATTTAGCCTTCTACAGTGAATATATATAAAGGAAACAAAGATCATTTTTCAGTTTCTTTTTTTCTTATTATTCGCTGAGATTATTAAATCTAATTGTATTTTTCGCTATGATTAAGCATTTCCCGACGGATGTTCCTATTGTAAAGAAAGGTAAAGCCGTTTAAAAATAACTCTTTCAATTTACACCTCCTTCATTTCCATGAGTTTATTATACCATAAATTTTATTTAAATCCTGCTTGTAACTGAAGGAAATTCTTTCTATGATAAGTTTTATATGATACTAGCAGCATGGCCCGGCGTTGCCCGTGCTTGATTCAAAAATCGTACGACTCATACAGCAATCGCTATGACTTGACTTAAAATATGTTTGTCCTTCCTTGCCTTTAAAGGAGTGCTCTTTTCTGTGCTGATGTTGCTACATGCCTTACTTCTTGCCTATCTCACAATGCGAATTTTTTCTAAGCTCTATACTAAACATTAAATCTGTTACGAAAAAAGAAGTAAACAAAATGAACACAAAACGATCAGCCTTAAAAAAAAAACTCGTAACTGGAAAAACCGAATGAAAAAAGAATGTTAACAACAAATACTTTTTCCCACCCAAAACCAGTTCTGCGGAATCAGAATTAACGTTGAGTTTAAGCAAGAGAATGAGCCAATTGGAGTAAAGTGCCACGCAGATTTAAATTTTTCCCACTTGTCACGAATGCAGCAATCTTTTTTTTTTTTTTTTGCATGCTAACATGCTAATTAACATTCATGTCAGTCAGCTGTTGGCTCTCACGCTGGCCAATAGAATCTTCCTGCCTATTTATGGCAGCCAGCTATTGGCTCTCACTCTGGCCAGTACAAAATGGCCGCAAACTACATGAAAACTGCCGTAGAAGCATAAAAAAATCGATTATTTCCACTATCGATGGGAGTTGGGAAATGCAAAGTCGGTCTTGGCCCTTCCACTAACTTGTAGCATGTTCATGTAAATTTTGGTGCAACTCCGTCGAAAATTGCGGCCGTGCATTCGTTACACACACACACACACATCCTACCTTTTATAGATAGAGATTAATAAACCTTATGAATGGCATATATAGCCAAATATAACTCCCCTTATTCATTAAAATACGCCTACCTTGGTATCAGCAATTCCAAGTCAGAAAAAAGCTCTGGGATTGTTGGTTGCATATGTAGATACTTCATTAGGCGATTCTTTCAA